AAACAAGGGTATGTTTGTAAGTTATTATTTTTGTGTTTTCGTAGCTTATGTTTTGATAGTTTTTTTCACTCTACTCCCCTGGTTTAGTTGTTAATGCACATAGTTTAATACCCTGGGTTCATAAGTGTGCCATCTTATTATGCAAATACATATGTATAATTCTATATTTGCCCCTAAATGATAAATAAAAATGTTGCTCTTGTGGTAGAATGGTACAGAACGATTTAATAGCGATCTAATAAACTGTTTTGTTTGAGGTACCTGTTAGTTTCGGCAGCCCGTAACATTGTGTTGTTAAGTTTATTTAAAAGGTAAAATAAAAAATCTTATATAAACAGAGCTACCAAAAAATGAATAACTTTGAATTATCCTAATTTTGCTTAATTACTATAAGTTATTTAAAGAAAAGAACAAGGCATATTATTTATACTTGTTTTATTTCTAACTTACTGAGGGCTCTATAGGAAAATCTATATAGGTACTAAAGTTATCTACGCAGTAATATTACGCAAAAGCAAATTATAACGTTAGTTATTAAATGAGACAAGTTGTGTACGTGAGTTGGCTACTGTATGTTATTAACTAGTTTTTCTAACTTTTAATATCATAAACTGTGTTAATCCTTGGTACAGAAAACACAATAAAAACATACCCGAGTAACCTAAAATTTTATTTTTGACTAGCGGACCCGACAGACGTTGTAATAGTTAACTATGACTATTACGAATTGGTATAATTAGCTTTTTCTGTTTTCTGGCACGTATATAAATAAATATATAAATAGTTTTGTTGGTATTCCGATACGAGAACAGATGTATTTTATCAATATAATTATTTTAGATGTATTTTATCAATATAACAACTCCGATCGAAGCATTTGTTTTAAACGATATTCATTTTTCTTTTCTCTTCATCCTCTTTGACGATATTTGCAGCATGCATTCTGTCAATGTTATGTCAAACGCCAAAAGGTTACATCAAAAAAGTTTGAATTGTATGGTGGTTTCTTAATGGATTCTTAAATTTTCAAATTTTTCGCGCAATTTTCTTAATTTTTTCTCTTGACAATAACAAACACAACGAATATTTTTATTTAAATAGTATTTTTTTAACTCAAGTCGTAGTCTAGATAATGTCCTCGTGATATCACTATATACCATAGTCTCGCGTAAATGCGACTTTATCTTATACAATTGTATCCCTTATTCCTAATTACAAATGAAAACATTTAAATAAATAGAAGCCCCTAAAAAGACAAATTTGCACAACAGAACAATCGTAATGTGCTAACGAGTTTACGGAGGGAACGTAAAGAAATTTAATTAGTGTTCATTGAGATTATTCACTCACAATGGCTGTGAGACAACTTCGAATGTTCGCGACACACAGTAAGAAACTAAAAAAAATTCAAATGCCTCCTGCTGATAGAGGACAAATCTTTGTTTTTGATTTATTTTATTACTATAAGATGTCATGTGGAACATGGTGTATTGGTTGCAGCTCCTACAAACGGTGTGTAAAACAAAAATCTTGGCGATTAAAAGGAGTGCCGGAGAGTTTATTGCCGTTCCGCCCTTGATGGAGAATGCAAATGAAATTAGAAGCATTTAATGTATTTTTTTTACGTTCATAAGTGTACCTATATGAATAAATGATTTTTGACTTTTGAATTACGTAATCATTTAAACCATTTCTGACTGGTACTTTGTATAGGTGCGACTATCACTCTTAAATCATGTCTTTGACAACAGTTTTAGGATTTTTAATATATGCGCTATTAATACTTATTACTTGGTTATAATAATAATACCGCTACAACCCACCATGGACCCAGACACAGAAATCCAAGTCCAAGGGTCTAAGTACTCGTTTGTTATTGTTGTATAATTTTGTGTGGGAATCCTGGTTAATCGAAAATTGTTACTTATCCAACAAAAATTATCATACTTTCTCGAAGAGGCCTCGTTATGTCCCCGGACGAGCGGCTCTGTGGATATAACACGCGTTCATAACAGTTTTATTTATCCATTTGTGAAGAATGTTAATTACCGTTTATATTTAATTTTCCTGTCCTAACACCTTTTATAATTATGCTTCACCAAAAAGTGTTCTATGTCGCGCAGTAGGCGACTATACTATTGAAGTGCATATAAAGCAAAAAACACTTTTTACTTCTGACATTAATCTAGTTAAAATTTGACTGACTTTGGGCGCTTAACGTGAATAGCGTCTAGGTCAATAATATAAGACACGCAAAACTAATTTATATTTGTGGGTTGCAACGCCTGTATGTCTCATAGACTTGGAGCAACAAATCTTAATCCAATTATCGAATTCTTAGAAATACGTAGTTCGGAGGGTTGCTTTCGAGACTAAACCTGCAAGCGTGATGTGGATAAGCATCAGCTGATTATGGCACGTACGTATAGGTAGACATTGTAAGGCTCATCGCATTTATTCGCCTCAAACACCTGGAGGATTTAAAAAATATATTTAAAAGAGCTTTCTAACGCTTAGCATACTGATTCATTGTTACAAGAAGAAAAAAACAGGATTTAATTTGACAAGCACTTATAGGCAAACATATTTATTTATTTTATTTAGTTTTTTTTAGTTATTGTTTTATTTTGGTTTTTATGTTGTGGTTGCTTGTTTAATTTTTATCTTTGCTAGCTTGCTTATGTTCTAATATAATTGATGTGTGTTTGTATGTGTGTAAAATTTGTGATGTCATATTTTCTTTTATAATTTATTTTTAATTCTTATAAATAAATAAAATAAAATGACATACACGACCAAAAAAACCTTAAGAACTATTTACTATTTATTGGGAATTTCGGAAATATTTCGCTATAAAGGAATTATAGACTAGCATTTTTATATGGATATATACATATGAAAATACCAAACAACTTTCGATAGCTTGCCTTTAACTATTTACTTTAATTTTATCAACAATATTAATTTATTTAATAAACCTCCTTTGTATTTTTTTATCTGTATTTATGACGTATAAATGGTTGTGACAAAATTCATCTATCGGAAGCCCCAGTGTTGTTTAAAAAATCTGGATTTAAAATTTCTTACAGGCCAGTATCCAATTTATAAACGACGAAATATGTAAGAATTAGATTATTAATCAATAGCGACAAGTATCGCTAAGATCAAGTTAAAACAGGCTTCCCTTTATTGGGGAAGGTCGAGCACCCTACACCGTGTAGCTCTTGTTAAGGATACAGGCATGTTCATACTTGGACAACTATTCTTCAAAACAACTCATTAAAAATACCCGCAGTTTTTTGTAAAATTAATCGAAGGTAAGGAACTTATAGGTAGGTAAGTTAAGTATATATAGAATCGACGGGGTATGGGGGCAAATGGAAAGTCTGTTATTTTTTTTTTATAGAACGGGCAGGAGGCTCACCTGATGTTAAGTGATACCGCCGCCCATGGATACTCTCAATGCCAGAAGGCTCGCGAGTGCGTTGCCGGCCTTTTAAGAATTGGTACGCTCTTTTCTTGAAGGACCCTAAGTCGAATTGGTTCGGAAATACTTTAGTGGGCAGCTGGTTCCACATAGTGGTGGTGCGCGGCAAAAACTGCCTTGAAAAACGCTCAGTTGTGAAACGGCGGACGTCGAGGTGATACGAGTGGAATTTCGTATTCTGCCTCGACGTCCGATGATGAAACTCAAACTTACCCTGCTTTAATCAGTAATACTAATTTGTTATGTAATGCTGTAGATTTGTAAGTTATGATTTGTATTTTATCTAACAATGGATATTAGATTTTTGGTTTAATTTTATTTACACATATTTTATTGAAATTCGAACAAAAATATACTCTAACCAAAAGACAATATTATCATTAGACTCTCTTGTTTTTAATTATGGATGTTGTTTTGTATTAAAGGCCGGCAACGCACTCGCTACCCCTCTGGCATTGAGAGTGTCCATGGGCGGAGGTATTTTTTATTATTATACGTTTTTTGTTTTTATCATTTAGTTTATTATAGTTTTACGTTTTTTTTAGTAATGACCATACAGATTACTCTCATTTACAGTATTTTTTATACTGTCATTGACCTATAGTTGCATTTAACTATCAATTATTTCTTTATAATCAAACTATTCGATTTTACTTAAATAAATTAATGAACGTCAACTACGTACATACACTTGTACACTTAATCCCTTCGGTTACTCGACTTAAAACTAGTCTAGTCTTTAGAAGTTTATTTGAATTATAAAAATATTAGTCATCGTAGTATGTACAAGCATCGGAGTTCTGATGCCACTTGCCAAACTTCACTGGAGTGCCGGACGTCTCTGCTTTGTCACACAGAACAAAGACATGCTTATCAAGACATGTTTCAGGACACTAATTAATTATATAATAACTAGCGGAAGCTATTTTGGCTTTACAAATATATGATTTATAAACTTAGAATCTAAAATAAATTTAGATTGTTAGATTGTATGGTCGTCATTGAAGCCTTCAGATTATTTTTCCGCTTTGGTTACTGTGAATGATAAAAAATTGTATACACAGTTTATTTTTATAAAATATACAACATGTTTCTACTAACACTGAACTAACGTTTATTTTTGTCTAGCCGATTGAATGGAAAAATATTCAAATATTATTGTTTTAAATAAAATCAATATAATAATTTTGATCATTAAAACTACATTTATTGCATTTATCTCTTTTTACTATAACTTAGTGTACACACTTTCACAGAAGATCTTTAAATACTACACCTAATAAAGTGCATTATAATTATTAAGTTTTTACGAATATGGGGTATAACAATTCAGAGAAGTGTTCACCATCCCGGAGGTCGTAGATTCGATTTCTGGCGCACCAACAAACTTTCTGTCTATGTATGTGACACTCTCTATTAAACATCGTCAGGAAACCGGCATGCCTAAGACTCAAAAATTCCACAGCGTCAGGCAAAGAAGGCTGATCACGAAACAAATTGGTTCATATTAAAATTAAATTTCTCTCTTTTTTTCAGAATCACATTCAAACGGTGCAGTAAGAACTTGAAAACCATTACAATAGCTTTCTTCTGACGCGGATATCACCACGAATTTGGCTCCAGGGTTAAACAAACCAGTCTTCAGAGAGAAAGTTGTGCCAAAACGTACGCGATTTCGCCACTCCACTTGCCAGCTTGCGCGAGGCGCTGTAAGCATTATGCTAATGTAGTCTATTCAGGATACTGCGATGCAAAATCAAGTCATTTAGTGCGTGATAATTTGTACGCTAATATTAAGTGCTCAAGATTACAGCATGTTGGAAACCATGGTTACGGTATTTTCTATGAGAGAAATAAGGATATATATGTATCCTATATATGATAGTTTTTTTTACGTTAGTTATTTACTTGGTTTATTTATGTTTAAGGCGAAAACAACACATTTAACACAACACACACAACTCAGTAGAGTTCAATATGCAGCGATATAATAATATTACTGACCCATACTACGCCTATTATTACGGGCAACATTTTTCTTGCGAAATTTTTATGAATATGACCAATAAGTTATTCTCTTATTTTATAAAATAACTAACCATTATAAAACAATGGTATAACTTTCCGATACAAGTGTAGTCGTCTCGTTGTTGCTTCTTCTGTTGTAATAGCTATAATTGGGCAGGGAGGCGACGCGTACGCACACCATCTAGCCGATATCCCTGATTTTGTAAGGACGATTATCGCTTTCGCTTCGCACTTGAGAGCGGCAAGGCATGCAGCTAAAGCTATGGTTATGGATGGCAGTGCTGGTATCTTTGTCTGTGGAATATACGAAATACTTAAGGTATTTTGTGCAGTTCAGAACGACGTGTTACATGAATATCGAGAGCAGTAGGCAGTGGCGTAACTATACCATCTGGGGCCCGTGGCAAATTATTTTGATGGGGCCCTATCAGTTAAAATCGTCACGTTGTACTCAGTTTAATTTTAATAAACTTCGAGATTTTCAGCGTATTTACACGTTGTATTTGTCCCACTAATGGCCATAGAACTCTTCTCTTGGGGAGAGGGAATTGTCTGTAGTCCCCACGCTAGCCCAATGCGTATTGGAGATTTAACATTCATCCATAGAACATAATATCTCTTGGGCAGGGGCCCTCTTGGGTCGGGGGCCCGTGGCATTTCACCAGCACTGCCACCCTATTGTTACGCCACTGGCTGTAGGCAGATGATAGATGAACAGGACTCTTATTGTTTTGTTTCAGAAAAAAATGTATGATTGACCGGACTTCCTAAAGCGTATTATACTTAATAATAATAATGAACATGCACGTACCAAAAATGATAGTTTTAAATAATCATCTTCATAATTCATATTCTTTTCAGCAAAACTAATAGCTCTAACGATAGATCTAATAATATCACGAGGCGGTAATTGAACGTTTTCATTGTCCGTTACAACAATACCATCAACCTGGTTCCTGACTAAATCATGAATAGTACTAATTATCCTTATATCTCTGTCGACCAAATTGTAATAATCTTCTATAATATTTGGCTTGATGTAGAACACTGGCTTGAAATACTGAAATTTGAAAATGGAACTGTTTAAAAATTTCCACAGATGTAGCGAATATCGTGGTAATATTTAAATTCCGAACGTCAAAACGTTTTTTATAATTATATATTTAATACACACCATATTTAAATAAAAATAAATATAATACAAATTCAAATTAATACTAAAAGACCATCTCTTGAGTGATCCCAGTTCTTAACGTAAATGAAAGTCCACACAAGTTCTACTTCGCTAATTCATCCTTGAAGGGGGGGGGGGGGGGGGGGGGTGTGGGAGGAGGGGGGGGGAAGGAGGTAGGAAGAAAAAAGAAAAAAAAAAAAAAAGTAATAGACACCAACCAGCCCACAAATTGTAAAAAGAGGAGAGGCCCCGCCCCCCGCCCCCAAAGAGTAGAGGAAGAAAAGAGATGGGCCGGGAACAGGGAGAAAAGAGGGTGGGGGGGGGGGAAAGAAAAGGCCCCGGAGAGGGGGGGGGGGGGAGGGGGGGGGGGGGGGGGGGGGGGGGGGGGGGGGGGGGGGGGGGGGGGGGGGGGGGGGGGGGGGGGGCGGGGGGGGGGGGCGGGGGGGGCGGGGGGGGGGGGGGGGGGGGGGGGGGGGGCGGGGGGGGGGGGGGGGGGGGGGGGGGGGGGGGTGGGGGGGGGGGCGGGGCGGGCGGGGGGGGGGGGGGGTGGGGGGGCCGCGGCCGGCGGGGGGGGGGGGGGGCCGGCCCCCGCGGGGGGGGGGGGGGGGGGCCGGCGGGGCCCGGGGGGGGGGGGGCGGGCGGCGGGGGGGCGGTGGCGCGGGGGGGGGCCCGGGTGGGGGGGGGGGCGGGGGGGCTGGGGGGGGGGGGGGGGGGGGGGGGGGGGGGGGGGGGGGGGGGGCGGGGGGGCGGGGGGGGGGGGGGGGGGGGCGCGGGGGGGGGGGGGGGGGGGGGGGGGGGGGGGGGGGGGGGGGGGGGGGGGGCGCGGGGGGGGGGGGGGGGGGGGGGTGGGGGGGGGGGTGGGTGGGGCGGCCGGGGCGGGGGGGGGGTGTGTTGGGGGGGGGGGGCGGGGGGGGGGGGGGGGCCCGGGTGGGGGGGGGGGTATTGGGGGAGGGGGGGGGGGGGGGAGGGGGCCGGGCTGGGGGGGCGCTGCGGGGGGGGGGAGGGCGCGCCCCCCCCCCCCGGCGCCCCGCGGGGGGCGCGGGGGGCGGGCCCCCCCCGCCCCCCCTGCCTCGGGGTGGAGGGGGGGGGGGGGGGGGGGGCGGGGCGGCGGGGGGGTGTTGGGGGGGCGGCGTGGGGGGGGGGGGGGTGGGGGGGGGGGGGGGGGGGACGCCGGGGGGGGGGGGGTGGGGGGGGGACGGGGCGGGGGGGGGGGGGGGGGGGGGGGGGCCACCGATGACCCCGGGGCTGGTGCGCGCCGGGGGTGCCCGGGAACGCGCCCCCCCCCCCCCCCCCCCCCCCCCCCCCGCCCCCCTTTCCCGCCCCCCCCCCCCCCCCACACGCCCCCCCTTTGGTTGCAAGTAGTGTTGTGGGGCGGGCATATAAACGGGGGAGGGGGTGTGTGGGGGGGGTGTGTTAAAGGGGGGGGGGGCGGGGGGTGGGGGGGGGGCAGCCGGGGGGGGGGGGGGGCGGGGGCGGTGCGGACGGGCGGGGGCGGGGGGGGGGCGGGGGGGTTGGGGTCCAGTTGCCGGGGGGGGGCGGGGGGGGGGGGGGGGGGGTGCGGGTGGGGGTGGCGGGTGGGGGGGGGGGGGGGTGTGGGGGGAAGACCCCGCCGGGTGTGGTGGGGGGGCGGAGGGGCGGCTCCCCGGTCCGCTGGGGGGCCGCGGGGGCCCGGGGTCGTTTTTTTTCCCCCCCCCCGGTCGGCGGGCCCCGGCGGGGGTTGGTCCCCCGGGGGCGTGGGGGCTTTTTTGTTGGTTGGTGGGGCGGGGGGGGTGGTTTTTTTTTTGTTTTTGGGGGGGGGAGGGGACTTGTTGTTTTTTGTGGAGTTGCTGGGGGGGGGGGGGGGGCCCGGGGGAGGGGGAGGAAAGGCGGGGGGGGGGGGGGGGGGGGGGGGGGGGGGCGCGGGGGTGGGGGGGGGGGGGGGGGGGGGGGGGGGCGCGGCCGTCGGGCGCCCGCCCCCCCCCGCCGCCCGGCCCGGCCCCCCCCCCCCCCCCCCCCGGGCGGGGGGGGGGCGGCGGGGGCGCGGGCTGTCCGGCCCCGCGCCGGTCGGGGGTTGGGGGTTTGGGGGGCGGCGGGGCACCTGGTCGTGGGGGTTGGGGGCCCGCCCCCCGGCTCCCGGCCGGCGGCCCCCGGCCCCGGGGGGCGGGCCGCCGGGCCCCGCCCGGCCCCCCGGCGGGCCTCGGGCCCGCCCCCCTGTGCCTCGCCCCTTTCGGGACCCCGCGAGGGGGGGCTTGTACTGGTGGGTGGCGGGGGAGTGGGGGGAGGGGTTGGTGGTCCATCCTGCGGGGGGAACGGGAAAGGGTTGTGCGCCGGGGGGGTAGGTCGTTGTAGTGGGGGGAGGGGTGGCGGGGTTAGGAAGAAGGGGGGGGCCGGGACAGGGACGCCGGGGGGGGGGGGGGGGGAGGGCGGCGGGGGGGGGGGGGAGGGCATTGTCGGAGGGGGGCGGCCCCCCCTCTGTTTTGGGGTCCGGGCGCCCGCCCCTCCCCCCCGGGGGGCACACCCTCCCACGTTGGGGGGGGGGAACGTTCTTTACCGGAAAGGGAGGGGCCGTCTGGGGGGGGGGGGCCCGGCGCCGGGGGCGGGGGGGGGGTCCGGTGTTCTTTGTGTTTTTGTGGTTTTTTGGGTTTTGGGGTTGCCGGGGGGTGTTGTGGGGCGGCCGGCGGGCCTGGGGGGGGGGGGGGCCGGGGGCGCGGGGGGGGGTGGGCGGGGGGGGGGGGGGTGTGGGGGGCCGGGGGGGGGGGCCCCGGGGGGGGGGGGGGGGGGGGGGGGGGGGGGGGGGGGGTGGGGGGGGAGGCGCCGGAGGCCGGGGGGGGGGGGGGGGGGGGTGGGGGGGGGGGGCCCCGCCGGGGGGTGGCCCCCGGCCCCCTCCTTTTTCTCTTCAATGACCCACGACGTGATAAATTGTATCTTTAGTCTGTAAGTGACTATTCTCTGTCTTTAAACCTAAGACATATAATAATTACCCAAAGAGAGAATGACGGTACCAAGGAGGTGTCTATATATGTTTTCTAGAAAGCATAACATTCTATATTTGAATTAGATTTCGAAGCCATTCGTTTTACATTATCGATTAATTAGGTTCCAAGTCCAGGTTAATTTAGAGATAACAACACTACGACCATTAACTTCTATCACTTACTTTTTTACAAAATTTTAAAGCGCAGTCACAATACTCTTCGCTGACTAGATTATTTCTCTGATGATCAAGTATGACACCATCTGAAAACTATACAATTAATCTAAATGTTATCTTCCATATGAAGGCGAATGGTATATAGGCTGCGATTTACTATAACAAATTAACTTATGAATCAATAGGACACGTCTAAAACAAATTTATAGCAGTTCATATCAGTTGCTTACAGACCCCAACCGTACCAAAGTTTTCGTTAAAAAAACAGAGGCGCTCGTCCCGTCTTGGACTCAGTTTTCTGTATCAAGACTAGTAAATTATAGCTATTTCGACGACAAATTTCGTGGTAACTATTTTTGTATAGGCAAGTAGGTAAGCAGCCGGAAGGCTGTCCATTTTATGCCAGTTTCATAGCGTTCCATCGTTATACAAGTAAATATTAAATGCGCAAATTATAAAAAGAGAATCATAACTATAATTTGTATCTCTCAAACTGTTTGTTTATAGAGGGCAAACAGGCAGGAGCCTCTCCTGATATTAAGTGATATTAAGCATACAATACCGTCTTCGCAATATCATTACCGAGCCGTTCTTAACATATTGAGTATGGTTATGAACGGCTGAGAAACTAATTTGAAAAAGTATGTTTGATTGTAATGAAAATATATGAAAGTTATACGCCTTGGAGATTGTTGCAACTTCATTATTAGACACAAAACTAATACCTCCTGGCTTAGATGTGGTTTTCAAGCGAAGTAAATGAAAATAAATTAAGGTCAAAGTCAACTCGTTGTGTAAACGTATATACGCCTGTTTTATATATAATATTAAGAAAACGATCTGTAATAAACGCATTATTACTACAATCGACAATAGGTCCGAGGCTAAAAAGCTGGTGACGCTACAGTCGGCTCTATATCAGTAACTTTTGTTATTCGTCATCAGACATATGTGCCTGAGAGACGGTACCGATAATATCTAAAACATATTTTTATACGATGTTAACTTCCATCACAAATCTAAATATATAAAACAAAGTCGTGTTAGTTACACCACTTATAACTCAAGATCAGCTGGACAGATGTTAGTTATTTGGTGGATTCTTCTCCACTCCGAATAGCAAAAGAAGTAATAAAATATCGGATAAGTTATCGAATAACAATAAATAAGTAAATTAATTTTACGAATGCAAACAGCATGTGGTGCCACCTGTTGACAAAACTACGCATCATTTTACATGGAATTCGTGTCAGTTCAAGAAATTTTGAGGTGAATGAGGACATGCATAACTAGGCTTTGATCTTGATCGAAGACATGTGTTACCTCATCAATAAATGTTGTATATCAGAAAGTGCTTTAACATGCAGTATCGCAATATTGGCGCTAGAGAGAAGACGCCTAATGGCAAAAGGCAAGCAATAAAACATTTCTGTATTTGCAAAAAAATGTTGTATTAATGTTATTACCCTAATGAAATCCTAACATAAGTTTAACTAAAGTAACAACGATATTATTAGACTGTAAGGCGGAACGAAGTTAGCCGGGTCAGCTAGTATCATATAAAAATCATGCTGAAGTTCGAACGACCGCAGCTATCGCTTTGTACTGCGACTGTCAACCCTTGGTAATGGCTCGCGAGCCACACGGAAAACTAGTACCCTTCAGAGGCTTAACAAATCGAATGGAGCAAGTACAATACGGAATACACATCATCATCATTAATAGTCATCATAAAAAAGTATATTTTTTTGTATGTTATATGTGTAACTGTATTTCACAGATTTTTAACTACTATTTGGTGATATTGAAAACGTCTTCAACTGATATTAGTAGAAAATCCATGGCTAAGTTGGAGTTATCTCAGTTATATCTTACTTGGATTAATTGTTCCACTTCTTCATTATCCCATTTATTTAACCATAACAGAATCGTTTTTTTAGACCACTCGTGCTCTTGTTTTAGCTTCAGATATTGGTTCAAATTATTCACATTTTTAATAATTATTACATCCACCTGATAATATATAACATTCTAAATATTTTTGTAGCAAAATCTTGTCTATGAAAATTTAGAACAAACAGTAACGTGTTCTAAATAAGTAGCATCTATCAATTTAATATCTGTAATTATATGTCACAGAGCTCATAAATTAACAACATCAAAATGTCAAATCAACAGTCCACAGTCAAATCGGTTTTTATATGAATTTGAAATAGGAATCTTCTGTGTTTTGTTTTATATAAAAATACTTACAACGTCATCAATAGGTATAGGTTGATTGATTGAGAGTGTAACTGCTATTGTTATAGGGACTTCGTACTCTGAAGGGAACATCTCTGGCATTCTCCTAGCTTTAAATATCGTAGCAACAGTTTCTTTGAAAAACTCTTCATCGTGTTCTGTCCGGTCAATATTGAATATGTTTACACCCGACTTTATAAGGGTATGTAAATCATGCGTGGTATATCTTCGTTTATCTATAATTATGGAAAACTATTAATTTCTAAATTACACTGGGCCCTAAAACAAGCCCAACTGGCCCTTTTTTCGCAGACTTTTCATAATGTAAGAAAATCTATGTAAATCATGAGCTTATCACGTGCTTCTATACAAGTTCGATTGACAATCTTGTATAGAAGACGAATATAATACAGACGGATAAAGATAGAACAAAAATCGATCAGAGCAAAATTGTTTTAACCACTATTATATAAAGCATAATTAGAACACTTACAAAAATTAAAAATAATATTTGTTGAAGGAAACACTCTATCTTCTTCGTTTGGATCTTGATACTGGTAAAAGCACAGACTCTAGAAATAAAGTTTTAACTTTTTGACGTGAAAAAAGAATGTAATATTCAATTCTTTGTATTATAAAAATTAATTATAGGAGAGATGTTACTTCAATTCAATTCATAAAAGTATGCAATTTTTCATCAATTTTTTGATATGATGTTATCACGAAAATTATCGTCCGTAAACCGACTTTACAGACAATCAAATTTTTTTAAATTTAATAAACTGATCAAATGGAAAATTGCCTTAAATCGTATAAATAGAATATAAGTGTGACAGTAATATGTATCTATCTAGTCTCTAATAATATATATCTTCAATGCACCGTAGTGTGTTTAGGATATAAAAAAGTTTTAATTATAATAATTTATTTGAAAAAAATAACCTTTTTTATAACTATATAAATTAGGTTCCCGTTGCCATGTCAAAATGAATAATTTATCAGACTTCATATATAAGAATAAAAGTAAATAATTTAACATGCATTACTCACCCCAGATCTACAAATATCCGGACTTGGAGTATATTTATCCACCCACCACACCATTGTCAGTTACGGTATAGATAATGAAGGAAGGCTGATATAGGAACTACGACCTCGCCGCAAAAGAAATAGTCATATTTCTTGTAGATTATGAATAATGTGGAGTCGAAGCGTAGACTCGGTAATACAAATATAAACCAAAAGTCTTGATAATCTTATTTACCTCTTCCGTGTTTTATTTAGAACTGATACCTTTCATGGCCAACTAGATGTGGTACAACAACTTTAAAAATAACAATAAATTGCTAATAATAAGCCCAAACTCGAATCCGGCTCGACGAATTCGAGTATTTTTATTTATTTATTCCTTGAATTTGTTTTTATGGAGATTTTTTTTTGAGAAATTGGAAAAGCGAACAGTCTCTATGGGCGAAATGTTCCATGTGTTGATATATAGCTACTAAACGGAGGCTATGTAAAAAATAAAAAAGGGTGCGTGTACTTATGTACGCGCGTAATAAGTCATACTTCTTTGGCATTATTAAAAATAGTTTTTGATTGCATGCAAATAATTATTTACAATTAAATAATAAAAGACGGGAAAAGGAGTCATTATCAATAAAGTTCAGTTTACATTTGAAAAATTAAATAAATAAATATTTATTATTATTCTCTTACATTAAGTGTTACATAAATTCTATTATTATTCGAATGTTGTTTGTAAATTATGTCCAATGCCGTAGCATCTTCCGTGCGCAACTTCATTCTGCTAATTTTGTGTCACGGTGCGCGCGCGTCGTAAAATTTCACTCTCATCAATTTTTCATAACGCGCCTAAAGAAGTATAACTTCAAAAATAAGCGAAAAAAAGTTCTAGGCAGCAGACATATTGGATATTATAAGTAAAATATTTGGTTTGCGCTTTTTATTATAAACTAATTAAACTAATATAATGATATCTTAACCTAGCTTATAAATAAAAAAAAGAACAATAACTAACCTTAAAATATAATAACTAAAATATATTAATTAAAGGTGTCCCTTTAGGCAAGGTTCCGAAGATACTGGCAGCGTTCCCCCTTTGAACAGCTAGACTAATTGCTAGCTAGCTGCCAAATAGTAGAATATTATATTGAATCAAGATCAAAAGTAAACTTGTTTCATTAGAAATTACGTAGGGTAGATAAACAATTGTCAGAGATATATCATTAAACCTACTTTTTCTTCATTAAGCTCCGATATTTCACGAGTTAAAATGCGGGCATCTATCGTATAGGAAGAGCACTTCAATTTATGTGCGTAATTAAGTGGAGTTTGCGTTGGAGCTGGTTCCTCGGCACTTTGCAGCGGTAAATGAAATTTACGTACGCCTCCACCTTTCGAACGAACCTTAAGTTATCGGTACAAGCTGTGAGAACAAGCGGTTTCAGCCTTTTTTGGCATTGATTTGAAATATCTCTATATCATTATATATAATGTTTTGGTGACATAAATTAAAGGCCGGCAATACAATGTCTATGGGCGGCGATATCACTTAACATCAGGTGAGCCTCCTGCCTCCTATTTAATAAAAAAATAACTTATCAAACGCTCAGTTGTAGACCGATGGACATATTTTAGAGTAATTTTAAATGCGTTTTATATAACTATATTTATATGTAAGTGTATTATAAACAAAACTTTGTAAATTTAGACAAGCAAAGAACACACTAATTAAACGAAATCATGTATCGTAGCAACACAAGAACAGAGTGTCTTCCATGTATTAAAGATTGTAAGTTTGTATTGGACATTTCCTTATGTTAAATATCCTTATTAGTAAATTAGGTTCAACTTAAATTACTTATTAGTCTTAAGATCTAGCCTAGATCGTAATTTTCCATGATATAAAGACACGTGTATAAATAAAATATCGTACCAACAATGCAATATGTTTTGTTAAGTGAAAAACGTCGTAAAATTTAGGATTTAACTACAATTACATATATATCTCAATCGTAAATACAGTGTTCCCATCGATTTCCCATAGTTTGAACCAAAAGAAAGCTTTTAGCTTCGAAACGTAAGAGAAAAGGGTGCCTGAGACGCTGACTGCGAACAATTACATTAATAATCTTTAGTTCACAAAAAATGATAATTTCCTTCTGTCGTATTATTTAACCGAGCTAGATGTTTTTTCTATTTTATTGACGAAAGAGTAATGAGTTAGAGTTGAATGTCTTCCACTTCATTAAAAAGGCGAATAACGGAGTCCTTTGTTATATTACGACTCGAAAACTAAGGAGGCAGACGGAAAAAATGGAAATGGAAGATATTAATTTTCTTATAGTAATGAGTCATACAAATTCATTGTCAGGGCAGTGTTGACCTCGTGGCTTCAACGTGCGACTCTCAACCTACGAAGGTTCGATCCCCGGCTGTGCACCAATGGACTTTCTTTCTATGTGCGCATCAAACATTTACTCGAACGGTGAAGGATAACATCGTGAGGAAACAGACATGTCATAGACCCAAAAAGGCGACGGTGTGTGTCAGGCACTGGACGCTGATCACCTACTTGTCTATTATATTTAAAAATGATTATGAAACAGATTCAGAAATCAGAGGCCAAGACCTAAAGAGGTTGTAGCGCCACTGTTTTTTTTTAATAAATTTATTTGAGGCATCGTTCAGTGGTATCAAAGGTTTGCTAACCTTTGATCATGACTTCTTCGTCACTGTAAATCCTGGGTTTGATTCCCACGGCAAGACAATTATTGTTTGATTAATCAAAATCTCGACTAGAAATAAAAAATATCAATGGTATTTCGAATCCTTAGATTAACCATTGCCAAACCAGTCTTTAATTATTTAATTGAATAAACCGAAATAAGAGGACACCCTGAGCCATTTTTGCCAAAACCCTCCATCTTTTAGTCGATACCAACTCCGGGGAAATAAATACAGATAATGCAACTTTCTCTACAGCTGTGATACTTTTTGACATCCAACACCTTTTGTCTTCAGTCACCGTGACCACGCACGCTGTAAAGCACGCGAAACATCGGATAAATTTAAAATTATATTAAATAATTGTAAATTTATAATAATACATAACTTTAATCCGGTTAAAAAGTTTTTTCTTTAAATGAATAAACCCTTATTAAAATGTACCAGTGGCTAGAGTCAAAGTATTATTATTAGTACTATCATAAGATTTTTAGTATAAAAAATATTACGGCAAAATCATAGACATTGTTTTTAATTATAAATAAACATCGTTTTACTATTTAATAGCTTATAAGGTTGTAGAGTTAAGTAGTAAAAGTTCGCCATTAGCGATGAAAAGCATTTAGCTTAGTAAAGTAAAAAAGGGGCAGATTCCCAAAACTTCCCATACATGTGTTCGTTAGTCGGGAGTGGGGTGTCGTTAATTTTGCACACAGTACACAGTTATAATGAAGCGAAATATTCATTAGACAACGTCTGGAGATGGCGCCTACGAAAATATTGTCACTGTTTGAATGCTTTGTAGATCTTATTAAGGATATAAATCTGTCTCGATTTTCTGGTCGCAATACTACGTTGCCTCACTGAGTTTTCATGAATTTTCTATATATAACACTAGCAGACTGGCCAAGCGTTACTGTGGCTAAGGTTTTAGTTATATTACATAGTAGTAACCTATTCAAGGGAAACGGTAGGAGAACACCAGTCATGGGGACCACCATGCTTTTTTGGTGGTAATGCCATTAAATTGTAGCTTATTTGAAACGTTGGTACTTTCAACACAGCGCCATCTGTTAGAATTGTGACTATCAAATAATTTGCAATAAAATAATATTGCGGGTATAAATTGAGATGCTATCCTATCTTTTAAGTTAGATCAAACCGCACAATTTGATTGAAATCGGTTCTGTAGTTTAGGAGTCCATAGAGGACAAACAACGTGACACGTAATTTATATAGGTATATTAAGATTAATCGATATTCTTTTTTTATGTTTTTGACAATCCATTTTAGGTTTTTACAGACAATTTATCATTTACCTTGTCAGACTCTTGACTGTAAATAAATCTATAGAAACGCAAAATGAACGTCGCATTGCGATATAAGCCAGCAACAAAAGCGAGTTAATTACTAGACTAGAACTAGAAGTAGGCAATACCCGCTTACTTATTAAGCAGATTATGCGCACAGTGTGGACGAAGGGCCATTGAAACTCGCAGACGGGCGATGAATTTTTGAGAGGCCTCCACGACGTGTGCCTGAAAGCTTTTTTCAGAAAAGAAATCGGTGTTATACAGATAATGAAACGACCAGACGCTGTTTGACGTTTCGTTTTGTTCTCATGTTTGGCTGTTTTTGGCGTTGGGGATGTGACGAAGGCTCGGAGAGTTCGTATGCTTCTTTGATGTATAATATTAATACACTCCAGTAACTCCTAAGTTTGATAATCTAAATGAATAGTTTTGTTAATTAAAAAAGTTGATAATTTTTATTCCTTTCTCATAATTTTTTAGTTTTATATAAATAGTATATATTTGCGTATATACATTACTCGAGCTTTCTAATACTTTTCAGTTAGCTTTTTATGTTCGTATATATTTTAATTGTTTTGTTTAATAAATTACCAGAATAATTAAAAATTAAAAAATGTTTTTAAATTTAGTGCGTGTAACAAACTGTGTTATTATTACTAGAAATAATTTAAATAATTTCAATAATAAACTAGAGATAACCTAATCAAAAATTTGCGAAAGTTGTGTTTACAAAGCTTTGTGAAATTAGTTTTAGAGTGAGTTTCAGTACAACATACTGTAAGCATATTATTTTGTAGGAAGCTCTTTCGTATAGAAGGACCTATTAGAGAAATAAATAGTACCTATATATAGGAATGATATTTTAAGCGACCTAAATCACTCATAAACAACACAAGCTACAATATAAGAATACCTTAAATTCAAAATCTTCTTGTATCAGCTCTGAATTCTCCATTTCTTTGAGTTTTTAAATCAGTTTTTTGGACCGGCACCGGCATTTTCTGGAACTTGCTGCCCCAACAAGTATTTCTAAACCGCTAC